GGCTGATGATGTAAATGTGCAGCATGGTTTTTATCTTCTGCTGTCACACATAGTCCAAGGAACTCCTACAGTGAGAATGATCCTCCATGGTCAATGTTTTCTAACATCCTCTTGTCAAGGTTTGTTGAAGAAAGATTCCCAAACCCTGGTATGCACAAGGCAACATGCAAACAGGTGGTGGAGGAAATCTATTAAGACAACTAAAATAACTGACTGAACCAGAATAAAAAAAAAAAATAAAAAAAAATACAACACTTTGAGTCAGAGTCAGTGTTTTTTTTTTTTTAATTGTCGTTCACACCACAGTTACATCCATCAATAGAATGTAAAAGAAAAACAGTAATAAGATCTAAGATATAAAAAAAAAAAAAAACATAAGCTAAATATACACTAAGCACTAATAGCGCAAAAACAATATGCCAAACAGCAGCACGGACATGAGTCTGTGTGAGCAGAAGAGTACAATGAATACAGCAACAGTGATTATCTTGGTTAGAGATTCATGAGTCTAACAGCCTCAGGGCAGAAGCTGTTCCTCAGTCTAGTGGTTATACACTTATTGCTCTTTAACCTCCTTCCTGAGGGGAGCGGGTCAAACAGTATGTGTGCTGGGTGAGTGGGGTCCTTCATGATGCAGGTAGCTCTCTCCCTGCATCTGGAGGTATAGATGTCTGTGATGGTGGGGAGGGTGACTCCAACAGACTTCTGTGCAGCCTTCACCACTCTCTGCAAAGCTTTTTTAAAATGTATTTATTTATTTCTAGGGGCAAAACTGAGAAGGGACTAACATAAATGCAGCACATTTCTGTTAGACAACAACAACAACAACAAAACAACAGTGCGTATACATCGAGGGGCAATAACCATCAAATACCATGTTTGAGGCTAAGTAAATTAAACTGAGCTTATTTTACAAAGCAACAATTAAAAAATATATATAAAAAAAAATGCACAAAAAAATCCATACACCCTAAAGCATATCTTTGGATTATGTATTGTGCATTTTTCTGTGCATCTGGGCGATGTGTGGGGGAGTGTTCTGAAGTACTTAGGTCCTATAAGTTTTTATAATAGCATTATATTGCCAGCAGAATACACTGGTTGTTGATTTCATCTAGCCCTTTCTGCTCATAGGAAAGTATAATGGGAAAGTATAACAAGATAGACTTATCCAATATCAGTTAATCCACAGATCATTTACATCACAGAATATAAAAGCAACAGTCACAACATCTAAACTAATGGATGTCTTTTGGAGAACAAAATCTTCACTTGGTTGCAAGGAGGTTTTTTTTTTTTTTTTTTTCTAGGGGCATGTGACATCCCACACATCTTACTTAAACACTTTTAGTTTCATTGTGAACTTTTTAATGCATATGTGTACTTCAGTGTAAGCTGTGAACAGAAAATAAGATGGCTTTACATGAATCATTTTTAGTCTTACAGACAACTCAAAGCATCTTTATACTGCAAGCCACATTCACCCAATCACACTCATTCAGGGTCTTGCCCAGAAACACTTTGGTTGATTAACTGACATATGTCACATAGGCAGTTGTGTAAAGGCTTACAGATATTTTAATCAAGCTGCATTTACAGCATTCTGACTAGCTCTAGGTCTCACTCATCCAGGTCAAGGTAATTTTTAATGCTTGAAAACAAAACAATAAATCTTCTCTGATTTTCAGTCATTGTTCCACCCTTTGGTATCTTTAGCTCTAACTGTACGATGGGGCTTTCCAATCATAAAAAAAACATAATTGGGACGTTCAAGCTGTAAAAGTCATTTATGTTGTTGAATCTTTCTGATGAGTGATAAAACTATTTTAAAACTTAATGATTTTAAGATGTTTCCTAATTTCTTAATTAATGATGTTAATGATGTTTCCTAATTTACTCAAGATCCCAGATCCAAGGTTGTTAAACGCAACAAAAACAATGAGGTATTTGAATTTGAATGAACTGAAATGGAAACTTTTTTTTTTTATGTGTGTTTTGCTCTAGTAAATTTTTTACTTGTTTCATGGAATTTCGTTTTAAGCTCACATCTGGCTGCATGCAATTACAGTGTGAGACATGTATTATCAGTCACAAGTTCATGACTGCTGTTTTTATTTTTACTTATCAGTTCATGACTGCTGTTACCAATCAGTTAATTTGGTACCTAATCAGTTAATTTTGTTATTAATCAGTTCATATTGAAGAGCTGTTGACCAGCTCTGTTCATTGTTACACGGTTATAATTCGTAACCTTTCGTAAGCATTTCAGCTGTCCTCTTTTCCCCATCTGAGACCTTTTCTCTCCAGGGCACTCCTGTGCATGGAACGCACATAGAAGGCTGAGTGATGAAATGTTTTTTGGTGCAGGTGGGCACTTCATATTGTGTCTGAATGGATCCAGTGAGGCATAGACTACATCCTGCTTCACCTTTAACCCACTAGCAACAGCCTTAAAGGGCGAAGCTTATATGAAATAGAACGGTGGTTACGTACTGTAACCCCAGATTCTATGAGTATAGGCACAGCCCTTTAAGCTCTGGGCCTCACTGGTTCCAAAATGGCTGAAGAAAAAAGCTATTTGGGAGCCGATTACCCAGTCTCACTGTAATTTATACGGACTGGGGGTGAGGCCCACTCAGCAGGTGAGCGTGGATTAAAGTTGTCAGTGCTGCGCGCAAAGGGATAAACCCACTAGTGATAGCCATAAAAGGCTGTGCCTGTACTCATAGAATATGGGGTTACAGTACGTAACCAACGTTTTATGCCTAGACAGGAGGAGACACACAGAAACACTGCAGGTGTTACACCATATTCTGTGACCACAGTATATTGCGACCGTGGCAACAGGCTGCTGTGTTTAGAGTTGGAGGTAACCAGGAAAACATGGAGTGTAGTTTTAGTGGCCTGAGTATTCTCCTATTAATCAAGTGGAATGGATTTGTTCACAAAGAAAGAGAAACTGCGCGGTCTGAACTAATGTTTTATAGTAAAAGTGGGGGGTCCAAATGAACTTTTTTTTTTATGTGGGGGGGACTTATCCCCTTCACATATAATGGTTGCAATGCCTATGGATCAAGGGCTGTCTGAAAAATGAAATCCAGTTTAGCACAATTAAGTAATAAAATAAAATTGGTAAGTTGAATACTTTTGTGTTCTTTTTTGTCTTGTTTTGTTATTTAATAAAAGTGCTGGACAAACATTCTTTGCGTTTTATGTTAAATTCATGTTTAAGACCTCCTTATACAAAACAAAATTGTAAAAATGTATCTTTTTCTATTTTTTTTCTTTCAAACTATTCTTTAAAAGGTGAAAAGTTATAGATTTCAGCAGACACCTTTATACAATTGGATCTACAAGTGAGTTGTTTGTAAATTGTGTTTTACTTAGGGATGAAAAATATCTTATTTGGAGTACAGGTTTCAGTATCTGGCACTTCTGCCTTGTGTAAATGGACATCTTTACTTTTTCAAAGCCAATAAATTAAGCATGCAACATTTTGACTAGTAGAAAAAGACACTCACATAAAAAAGACAATTCATGTAGTAGGTTTGAAGTCACAATAAGAACACAAGGATCATTAGTTTTTGTTGACATTCCTATTTTGATCAAAATAACATTAAAAACTGCTTCTTTACACAATTGTCATAAGACTAGACTTTAGAAATGGATTACTTATACAACGGCCATTTCTATATTTTAACTGATGTTTGAAGCTACATGATGTGTCATATTGCCTCCCTTTAACTACAGCTCCCTCCAGTGGTTAATACAATAATTTAATATAAAGCAAAGTGAACAGATATGCATTATTGCTAAACCAAAGTCAAACAAATCTGTTTTGAATGTTGTGCTTTATAAACTCATTCAATAAATTCATATGAGACATTTAGTTGAATTAACTGGGTTTGTTTAAAACAATAAGAGACAAGTAACTTAAAACACAAATTGAAGTATGTTGGAAATGTAATACATGTAACTTGACAATAATAATAGAAAATATACTGTCACCTGCTTGAGGGTTTCACAGGTTTGAATACTGGAGCTTTAACTTCCCAAATATCAACTCTTGCTCCATTTCTCATAATCACCTACACACATAACCAATACTAATATTGAAAGAAGGTTTCACATTTTGCACATTTTCTCAAACTTGTGCATGAGTTCCAAACAAACAAAATCTGTATCATCTTAGTCATCTCTTAAAAAAAAATAAAAATAAAAAAATAAATAAAAAAAAGAATGTGCACACATTTTACCCAAGAGCTGCAGCCAGTGTTAATTAGTTCCACTTGTGGTTTTTCTGCCACGATATGTCAAAATGTCTCTTGTGGTGTTCTGTTAGGTCTTCCGGTGGCAGTCAACAAGAACACAATTAAATTTGTATTTGTTTTTTTGTGTTAATACTTTTTTTCTTTGTTTAAAAAATGTTTGTGTTACATGTATTTTTATTTTATTTTATTTTTGTTTATCTTTTATTTATACAGGTAGTCTCATTGAGTCACGAGAACTCATTTTCAAGAGAGACCTGTTTAGGGAGCAGATGATGAGGGCTGAGGACCTTGCTCAAGGGCCCAGAGTGGGGCAAATGAGGGTGGAGGCAGGTGTGGGTGCTTCGCCTATCCCACCCACATTTGGATGTTGTCGGTATCGGGGAGTTGAACCAGCAATTTTTCAAGCACAGGCCCACCTTCTATAACCTCTGGGCCACCACTCCCTGTCAAGTGTATACGCTATAAAAATAGTTCATTACCAAGTCATGTTTAAAAATAATACATACTATTAACCCCTTCATACTTTTTCATACTACTTTATGATTTTAGTATTTTGTTAACTTCTGCATTGATGTTATATACATGCTCCGGCGGTGGAGGAAAGCTGTGGGGCAATGCGCCACCCATCCATCCATCCATCCATCCATCCATCCATCCATCCATCCATCCATCCATCCATCCATCCATCCATCCATCCATCCATCCATCCATCCATCGCGGATCACACACCTTGCTGCCCCACTCTGGCAGCGGAGGAAGGGTGAAGCGAGGTGCATGATCCACAGCCCCAGGAAGCAGCAAGGTGCAGGCAGGGGGACACTTTAGAGCCACGAGCCTTCGTCCTGGCTCCTGTGGTGGAGCGAGGGCAGCTTCGAGGCAGCTTCATTTTGCCACGCCGTCTCGGTGAAATTTAACTGCTTTGACCATTAAAGTGCATTTATTAAGGAAAAGTTAAGTTGAGACACAGCTTTGCTATAATGTCGAGCAAACAAATAATTGTTTTTAGGTGTTAATCTTGTTAAATTTCGAAGAACTGCAACAGCAAGTCCTCTCGTGCATGCTCTTGCGGCCTCCATTTGGCAGCCAAATAATTTTGGGCACAACACCGGCCCACGTTTCCCGGAGGTTAGCGGTGACGCATAATAAATGCAACTTCTATGGTGAAGCAATTTATTTATTTATTTATTTCAATTTATGAGACATTTTTGGACTGATGCGACTTATACGCTGTAATGACTTATACGCCGGAAAATACGACAACTGCGTGTGTGTGTGTGTGTGTGTGTATGCAAGCCAATGAAACAGACCTTATGTGGAAAATATTTTCAATAGAAGAGTTGAAGATATTATCACAACTAAGGTAGGGTGCATTTTGCTTCTCCACCATCAGTTTTCAGTTTCACACACAAGAACAAACACTAATGACTTTCCCTAGACCCTTTTACCTCAAAAGGAGCCCACTGCTCAAACACCCACAGCCACGGGTTTAGGTATGGCATGTCTCTGTGGTAGCTTATCACATCCTCATCTGAAACTACAAACTCCTCAGCAAGACATATGCATGAGATGTTGAGAGTTGCTTTTAAATGTAAAACTAATAATCAGTGTTTGTGCAAATTTATATTTTTAACACATTTTTTAAAACTAAACATTTTTATTTTTAAAGAGAATAAAGCTGAGGCATGATGTTCTGGTTTAGGCTGACAGAGGGCACTGGCGGTCTATCACATGTTGCACATTGGTTATGCAGATTGCTGACCCCTAAAAACAATATTCAGAAGTCTGCTGTCACAGTCAAATTGTGTAATCACATTGACCTTGCATAGCTGATGGTGCATTAAACAGAGTATTTTTGTTGCTGCAGTTTATTTCATTTTGCAGCTCCAGTGCAGTCAGATGTGCACATCACATTTCACATTGTGTAGCCTGACAATACCATCCTTCTGCAAAATGTGATATGCAGATATCAAAGGATATCAAGATTTAGCTAAAATGATCACACTTCAGGTTTGGGTTCAGAAATCCTCCAGCTATAATAAACCTGTTAATGTGTATTTGGTTGTTTTATAGTGGAGATGATCACAGCAATAGGGGGAGTTATTATGACAGTTTATGTCAGAAGAGGGCGGGTATGCATAGCAAATGGCCATGCAAAATGTGTTATGCTAACTTAAGCACGCAACCAGTGATATTGTTGCTGATTGTGGCTGAAAAACCCAGTTTATGATGGCACTCATATGCAGTTTAGTTTTGTTTATATTGTCGTTACTCAAACCCCCCAGTTGATCATGGTCATGCTCTTTTTTTGTTTGATTTAGATCAGCTTTTTATTATTTTCAAGATTAAGAAAAACTTGTTTAAGTAAAGTTAAATGCAGTAATGACATACTCAAACTTCTGGCAAAGATAAAGCTCCAACATCTTGAATTAGGTCTATACACAACAAGAAATTTAAACATAAAACTGTTCATTGTATAACAAAAGTGAACACTGATTGATTTGTCTTGCTGTTTTGTGAGTTCTTACAGTTATGGAATCTTGATTGTGACACAAATCAGCCTCTATAGATCTTTCTGCATCTCTTGATTAAACTTAATGTTGAATGCAGCTGTTGCACTTTTAACTATCCATCCATCCATTATCTTTACCCGTTTATTCCATTTTGGGTCATGGGGGTCGCTGGTGCCCATGTCCAGCAATCACTGTGCGAGGGGCGGGGTACACCCTGGACGGGTCGCAAGTCCATCACAGGGCCATATAGAGACAAACGAGACAAACAACCATTCACTCTCTCACTCACACCTAGGGACAATTTAGAGTGACCAATCAGCCTAACATGCATGTTTTTGGACTGTGGGAGGAAACCGGAGTACCCGGAGAAAACCCACGCATGCACGGAGAGAACATGCAAACTCCACCCAGAAAGGCCCCTGGACCGGGGTTTGAACCAAGGACCTGCTCGCTGAGAGGCAGCAGCTCTACCAGTTGTGCCACCGTGCTGCCCGCACTTTTAACTAGTGTACCTACATTAGTGATATTATTTTTTAACAAAAATCTTAATAATCAATCATTAAAAAAAAAATAAAGAGTACTCAGTTAACAATTTAGCTATCCCCTTTTTCATATTGAGAAAAAAAAAGTAACTTTAATGCTGTGGTCAAAACAAACTCAGTATGACATTTTAAAAAAAAAATCTAAAATTACTTTGTTTTACTGATTTTATTTATTGTATTTATTGGCACAGTGATATAGGCCTTGTTGAGTTACATGTTGCTGGAGAGGTTTAAGATCTAACTCTGTACAGGTAATGATGCCACATCCTTAACAATGCCTACATATAACATTTTCTCATAAACATGTTTTAAATCTATCATATATATTTTTTTCAGAAATTAACATTTACAGAGTTTTCTCTAGATAATTTCAATTACTACCCTACCAGAGTCTATCTATAATAGTCACTGATAGGAAATCAAAGTACAACTTGATTAAACACAGTTCATTTATATTGTGCCAATGCACAAGATTAGCCACCTTAGTCTGTGGCAAAATACATTTTATAGAGTCCAAACACAATACAAAATATGTTTTATCCAGTTAAATGCAATAACAAATATACTTATTGTATTGCTAAAGATTAAGCAATGCCTGTTTCATTGCAATGGATGACAAACCAAAGCAGAAACGGGTTCTGTTTAGTGCATGGGGTTCCTTTTGTACACAATCATATCCACAGATTTCAGTCATCCTTGACCTTGTGAAAAATACTTAAGAAACGAAGAACTTTTAAGGACAGACATATCCCTTTTGTCTCGACTACATCAGACTCTAATAACACAAAGCCTCCTTGCACTGTCCTCTGGATTTGCAAAGGCATTTTGACACTCACTGTTTACACATGATGCATAATCTTGACTTTCTAACAAGTGCTCAGCAGACCCAGACTTAGATGGCATAACTGAATTATCATGCATTTGAATATGGCACATAGTTTACCACAGCCAAGGTTAAAAATATTAAAATTGGAAAAAAAACTGTAAATAAATCAATATGCATGTCTGCAAACATCTATAGTTTACACCCCCCCCCCACACACACACACACCACACACACACCAAAAACACCAAC